GGCTAAAGGACTCTACAAGAATCTGAACTATTAACGCTCAAATCAGGAGTGTTGGGCGCTTCATCACGGGGGGCTTTTAGGAAGAGAGACTGGACGGCCACTTGTCTGGAATGGTAGAGGGTCTCTTGCTTGAAGACCCCCAAGGTCCCCTCCAACTCTATTCGGGTGGGTGGATGGATTGATTGTTCTTGTCTCTAAGTTGCCCCCCACTTCCCCCCTTTTCTCAGCCGGTGTGCAAGAGTCCTTTGTTCCCTGGGAACTGAATCTGCGCGAGATCCGAAGATCTCTCGGAAGAAGCAGGCGGGCGGCTGAGGGGCTCTCCAGGGTGTGAAAACCATCCAGCTACTCTTGACCGATTTCATGGCCTCTTACTGAATTCCGGAGTGCCCAGGGGCTCAAGCAAACGAACGAACACGGAAGGCCGCGACCAAACTCACGCCTGGAGTGTGTGTTTTGTTGACTAGGTGACGCTCATCTCCCATCAGTTGCGCAAGCCAGCCGTCGTGTTTCTCGTGGTGACTCACGCCTGAGTCACCTTCCCTTTGGAGTACTGTAACGTGCCGTACATGGGGCAGCCCTCGAGCAGCAGTCAGAGCTGCAGCTGGCCCCGAACGTGGCGGCGTGGGCAGTGCTTGGCACCACTCGTGGTAGCCACGTAACGCCGTCCCAGGCGCTGCACTGGCTTCTGGGCACGAGTCGAGGGGTTGGTTGCCACCTACAAAACAGGGCCAGGGCTAGGAAGTCTGTGGAGCTGCCTTTCTCCCACTGGTCCTGCTCACCTCACAGGTGCACCAAGGAGGGTGTGTTCTGGGACCCCCCCTGTTAAGCACCGTCACCCGTGGGGCCCAGCCTGCCCTGCAGAGCCCTGCCTGCCCTGCAGAGCAGCCCCCGGCCCACCCCCAGCGCCTGTTGGCCTTTCAGAAGCTCTGCTGGCTCCCCTGCTTTGGCCTAGGAGTTAGGCCGGCCCGGAGGTTGCTGCTGTGCTTCACAACCGCAAGGGATGGTTTACTTTGGGCTTTGTGAGTCACGCAATTATGGGCTTTCTAGACTTGAGATGCCACTTGGTAACTGGGTGTTGTGAGACGGGTGGCCCTGCATAATTAAAACAGATTTCCCTAGATCACGGGGGTCAAACCTGCCGTGTCATGTTGCCATCGTGTGACGTTTTGTAACATTTTATCCCTGGCGGAGCCGGGGTGGGCGTGCCCTGCGTGTAATTAGTAATTTAGTAATTTAATAAATTTATATGCCGCCGAATCCCGTAGGACTCCGGGCGGCTTACAAAAACAAGATAAAAGATAAGAATTAAAATGGAAAGAGAGAAACAATTTTAAAAACAACACACCTTACATACCGTCTGGGTGGGGCTGGACCTCGTTCATGCGGTCAACAGCCCCAGGCCTGCCGGAATAGCCAGGTTTTAGTGGCTTTTCGGAAGGCCGAGAGAGTGGGAAGGGTCCGGATTTCTACGGGTAGATCGTTCCACAGGGCCGG